TACAAGAAAAAAAAAAAAATCCTTTTGCATGTAATGATAATAAAAGTTTGTGTATATAATTTCTAAACTTAACATTTAAATATCCTCCTTCTTTTTTTTTTTTTTTTTTTAATAAATTAAAATTTCTTGTTGTTGCTGAGCATAATCAGCATTACGGCAAGGGGAGGAGGGGCCTTTGGCTGTACAGAATCACAGATGAAATCACAGCCTGGGGCTCTCCCGGCTGCACGGATGCCCGCACCACTGACAGCAGCCCCCGAACCCATGCCCTGCACTTGCCTCCTCTGAGGCATTTTCTTAATTCATCTGTTAGACAAAATGAAAGTCAGGAGATGCCCAGAGCTGCCTGGCTGCAGTCGGGGCAGTTCATCCCTCCTGGGATGGAGAGTCCTGGCTGGGGATGGACCACTCCTCCCCGAGCCTCAGGCTGGGACCTGCACAGCTCAGTCTGGGGGTCTGAAGGTTCAGGGAAAACACTCACATTCCTGGGCAATCCCGAAGGATCTCAAACCCTTTGGCCTTTTGCTTCCTCGCAGCCACAAGGCCACGGTGGGCATCTGCACAGAGCAGCCCCAGCATCCTGCTCCACCTCACCCAGGACAGCCACGGCCAAACCTCTGTGTGAGCACCAGCACGAGCTCCAGGGGAGCGGAGAACCAGGAAAAAATTATTGGCTTCAGCTGCTGGCTTACAAGTAACCCGTGCCTGCAAGACCCACTGGTGTTCTCACAGCCACTGCAAAGTATGAGTCCTGTGGGCAGCGATGCCTCCAGTGCGTTAACACAGGAGCCCATGGTCTGGCAGCGCTGCTGGGGCTGAGACCCAGCCCCGTCCCTGTAACACCCTCTGAGAGGGGAGAAAACCCTCCTCCGTTCGCAGGGCTTTAGGGACAGGCACGCTGCATCCATGCTCCTCGCCAGCAGGAACTGAGGGGTGGCAGGCAGATGGCATCTGCACAGATCTAGAGCCCCCAGCCCAGGGAGATTGTCCTTTCCCTCGTGCTGCTGTGCTCTCCTTGCCTCTGAACCAAAACACTCAGGATGTGACCCCACGTGTCTGTGGGTGCAGCACAGGGGCCAAATCCCACCCCACGCCGCCTCCCGGCCCCCCAGCACAGCCCGCAGCAGGATGGACGGGGCGGTGTTACTGGGACTGGAAACTGAGGACAGTCCCAGCAGATTGTACCTTGTCCTGTCATTGCCCCCAACCATGTGGCTGTGTCCCCTGGGGGTCTCCTGCCTCCCCCCGGGAGGTAACAGCTAACCCAGCCACAGCCTGTCCTGCGTGTTGGGTGACAGGGACGGCAGGGACGTGGGACACAGGGCAGGCAGCCCCCCGGGGGGTACCACCATCCCTCGCTGTTGCTATAGAGACAGAAGCTGGTTTCTCCACAGCGATGCTGGTTGTTTCTGAGCAGTACCTTCAGCTGGGAGAGAGGGATGAGGGATGCTGAGCAGTGCCGTGCCACTCGCCTTGCTGGGAGGGCTGGGCATGGCCAAGGCAAAGCTCTGCTGAGCCTCTCCTGGTGCCTCCTCACCCAGATCTGCACTCACCTTGTGGGGGCTCTCCCCAGACCCCCTGTGCAGCGACCATGCCAGCGCCAGTGCTCCCCTGCACTGGGGGAGAAGGGGGTGCAGGCTCTGGGGGTGCTGAGGGGGCTTGCTCCTGGGAGAAACCCCATCCTGCGAGCCCCAGCTCACCTCTCCCCGCTCTCCTGCCTCACTTTGCACCACGCGCTGGGATGAGACTGGCTCGGCTGGTGTCACCCACCACGGCAGCTCCTCCAGGCCATGCTCGCCTGGTCACACCAGCAAAGAGCAGCAGTCACTCCTCCAAAGCCATCCCGGGTGTGCCAGGAGAAGACAGTGTCAGGGCAGGGAGACCTGGAGCCAGGGACACAGCTGTGGGTGCACCCAGCCTGTTTGCAAAGGCTCAGTAAAACATGGAGCTACGAAATGAGAGGTTCCCACAGAGCCATCAGGGCAGAGTCTTCCCCTGCTCCTGCCTCTCCGGATACCCACCATCTCCAGCTGTGCAGAGGTGCACACGCGCCATTGGAGCTGCGATAACCTGCCTCCATCCTTCCTGGGGAGGGGGGAGGACAAACTCTGCCAAGCGTTATGATGCCTGGAAGAAAGAAAAAGCACCATAGCTCAGTTCCTCACCTAAGTCGTTGCAGGAGAAGGAGATTGGCAAAGAAAAACCCTGATGGAGGCCAGGGCAGTAGCACATCTCTGCTCCCCCCTGCAGCAGCGCTCCCCATTTAAATAAGCAGCAGCAGGGGAGGGGGGCAGCGCCGACCACCCCCCCACTGCTCTGCCTGCTGCTGCACCGACCCCCCAGTCTCCGGGGATCACCAGCAAGACCCAGAGCTCTCCCTTTTCCCGAACACCCTCCGTGACAGCCCTTCCCGGGGGGTCCTTGCACAGCCCACCCCCAGGGAGCTCCGTGGGAGGCTCGTTTTTAAAGGACACGGTGGTCCCTGTCACCACGTGTCTGCTCCGGCCGCGACACCGGCAGCATGGGAAGTCAGTGGCTCCCAGGGCTCTGCGTGACATCCCTGCTGGGGATGCATGCCAGGGATAGATTTTCTGTTTAGCTTCTTTTCATATTAATTATCAAAGAGCAACAAATGTTAGCAGCTTGTGACAGTCATTATCTGAACGTCTTCTCCCTCTCACCAGCAGCTCCGGTAGGAAGAGGCTCCCTGACATGCAGGGAGAGATGAGAGCACAAGACCCAGCTGGTTGCTCCCTGGCCAGGTGCATTTTGCCCACTTTGGATAGAAGGAAGCCAGGGATGATCCCTTCATTCTGCAGGATGCATCCAGCCAGGGAAGGTGCAGAGTCTGGCAGTGTCCATCACCTGCCAAACATCACCCTCTCTTCTGAAGACAGAGAAACCACAGAGAACTGGAAGGTTCTCTGCAAAATACGGGATTTTCTTAGAGAGACGTGAGGGGTAATCTGTTTCAGGAACACCACACTGAGCATGGCCATCACCTGGGTAAAGATCAGCCAGGTTTCAAGGTGGTTCCTTGTCAATAATGGAAAGCAACGGCACCGTGGCTGGGCATCACACTCTGTATTCTGTCATCTCAGACATCAACCAGCCCAGCTGTGCCATCAGGGAAGGTTAGGAGCGCTCTCCTCATTTCATACAGGGTAAGACACAGAAACATTCAGAAATTACCTCTGTAACGAGGTTACAGCCAAGTGAATAGAGGCAGGGCCTCCCTGCCCTCCCGCTCACCTCAATGCTGGGGTACCACAAAGCAGTCAATGCTCTGAGAGACTTACCTTGGAAATTCCATCTACAGCATCATTTGGCATAAATACAAAATCATGGCCAGGAAGAGACAGAAGACGACTCTTTGCTGTGTATCTAGACCTGCTTTGCAAAATCCCCATGATCCAGCCCATTGCCTATTCCATTGCTCCCTGCTAGGATGAAAATGGGGAACTTGTACTTATCCTGTACCAGATCAAAAAACCCCCCATGCCCCCTCACAGAGCAGATTTCTGAACAGCAGATGCCAGGCCGGCTCCAGCATGCCATCTTCAGCAGCCTGAGCACCCATCTGGGTCCACCCCATCCAAAGCAAACCACTGAAGTGACCCCTTGCAAGACTGCAGGACCTGCTCCAAGTCGAACACGTCTCCCAAAGCTGCACTGAACTGGCTCATGTCCCTTCCCTCACCGTAAGAACCAAACAGGGCAGGATTTTTAGGATTATTTATTATCTCTGAAGTGCCGGCAGTGTCCTGACTCTGTACAAGACACGACAGCTGGGCTTACAAAAAGAAGAAAGCGCTGTGGCCAAAATCATTTAGCCTCAAAAGAGTTAACGAACATGTTCTCAGGAAGCTCTCAGGCGCTGCCCATCCTGAGGACACATCAAGGTGCCCATGTGAACCACCCAAACTAGGCAGACATGTAGCTCCTTTCTCTCACCCCTAAAGCTTAATTAGGTTGCAGTCCAAACACAGGCTGAGAATGTGGCCAAAACACAGGCACGGCCCTTGATTGCTAAAACCCAATCCGGTGCAAGAAACTATTTTTTTTTTTTTTCCCAGGTGAGGAAGCAACATTAAAAAACGCCACTACTCATGGAAGTTACAACTGCTTCCAACAAATAACATGTAGAAAATACCAGGAGGGAGACTCTTAAAGTATCAGCTAGTTTCCAGTGCAAAGGCATCAGGTCCCCCGTGTTCACCAGATGGATATCAACATCTGACACGTGTTGGAAGACATCCATATCAACTCCACCAGCCTGAACTGTAAGTAGCCAAAAACAAAGCCAGACAGGACATCCGTGATGTGGTGCCGTCCGATCATGACGCGGGAAAAGCCCACGCAGAGGGCCCAGAGGACCAGCAGGATGCGGAGAGGGATGGCCAAGACCAGGTGGTTGAGGAAGAACTTGGAGAGCATGGCCGCTCGGCTGGCGTGCCCAGCTGGAAACGCGTAGGTGTCCATGGTCAGGTAGTCCAACAAGCCAGGGGTGACATCGTACGGGCCCTTCCGCTTGGCCAGCTTCTGCAAACCAGCCACGATCATGATGTCCAGGAGCAGGGCTACAAAAGGAGAGACGAGGAGGGAAAGCTCAGAGACAGAAGCAGAGTCAAGGGCAATTTTCAAGCAGAACATTCAAGGATTGTCGCTGTCTATAAATAAAGGTTTGGGTTCAGTTCCAGCCAGGTGTCCATGGTTCAGCTCCATGCACCCCCCCCTCACCCCAAGATCACCACCCAAACGTTAATTAACCCTCCCAGTTCACCCATGGAGAAGGCAAGTATCATCTCATAGAGGAGAAACCCAAACCGCAGAGGCAAGTGACCCACCTGGGGAGGAAGAGAGCAACAGGCAAAGCTAAAATTAAAACTCTTTTGGCCCTGAAACCACTGGGCTGGGTGTTTCCGTTTCTGTCCTCTACCGTGTGCTTTAGAAACCTCGTGCAGCAAAGACTTATCCCTGCCTGGGGGCCTTTGTGCTGGGGTGACCGGGCTGCAGGGAGCTGTCGCTGGGAGGAAAGCTGCCCCACAGCACCTTCTGGCGTTGTCCCTCATCATCTCCCAAGCCCACCACCTCTCTCCTGCTCAAACCCAGCCAGCGGGACTGCATCGCACCGGCAGATTTCACTAAGGACAGCAAGCCAAGGGGAAAGCCATACAATTAAGAAAAAGTGGCATTTGCCACAGGTATCAACACCAAATCACCTTTCTTCCCTAACTGCTTCAGGAATGAAACCCATCAGCACTTGTCTTCATCATCCTCCTCTTCATCCCACCCCCTTTGCCCCAGCCGACAGCGACTGTCATTTCTCTTTCCTACCATTGATTTTATTTGTCTTCAATCCCCTCATCTGCTTCTTCCCAGCCCTCCTAATTAGTCAGAGTGCTGATTTCAGCTCCTCGCAGCAATGATGAGACACGGACCGTCACGAGCACAGCCTGCTCCTGCAGCAGGAGCGCGAGGGGTCAGTTCCTGGACCCTGATAAAGACCCAAAGACCGTTCCGTGGGAGCTGAGAAGGTTTCAGGAGGATGGATGGGCGTGCAGCAGTGGCGGGATGGAAGATTATATGGCACATTGGAGCCAGGCAGCTCCTCCTGCCTGCTTGGCACCTTGGCAGGACCTGGGAAGCCAGAAGCTGTCACGGTGGCTCCGCTTGCCACCTCCCGCAGCGTGCCACCTCTGCATCACCAGCCCCCAGCACCGCTCGGGGAAGGAGCTGGTATTTATCCCAACCAAACTCTCTCCTTAGGGGAGGGATATTTTTTCTTCCCCATCTGCAGTGCATCTTGTGTGGGGATGGGGGACAGCAGGACCACTCTAGACCTCCTGCCTGAGCCACTCCTGAGCTCTCAGAGGGGAGATGGAGCAGAGGGAAAGGTCTGGGCAGTTCTCTGCACTTTAAGATTTGCTGATATTACTTTAAGGGGCTGGCAGGGGGGGAGAAAGGGAAAGGGGAATTTGACCCCCCCCCCAGAAAGGGAAGCGGGAATTTGTCCCCCCCCCCCCCAGCCCCAATTCAGCAAAGTGTGTCATGAGCCGATTTTCAGCGCTCATGGGCTGCATTGCCCATCAGTCCCACCTTGCCCTGGACAAGAGCTGGGCGAGCGCCGGAGCGCTGAGACGCGACCTCGGGAGCACAGACTCGCACATCCATTCCAGAGAGATGATGCACCAGCGCTGCCAAGAGAAGCCTCTGGCCCGAGCTTGCTGAACTCAGCAGCTTCTTGCATTGCTGAGGAGCCCAGCCAGGACTCAGGAACTAGTCTGGGGACCCCAAAGGATCCCCAGTATCTCCCATGGTGTTCCACACACCCACTACAGACCATTGCCCACCAAACCTGCCTGCCCATCACTAGCACATACACAACAAGCTGTGGTGTTCACCACTGCCCATCAGGATTTTGCATTTAAAAGATTTTTTTCCCAGTCAAAGGTGATGTCAGGGCAACTGGAGGGATGCAGGCATGTGTGCATGGAGGTGTTCTGTGCGTGGAGAACAAGTCAAAGAGCTGTTTTAATAATCCTTTCATTCAGAAGATGAGTAAAATGGGGCCTCAGTACTGCTAGGTTTGATTTTCGTCAAATGATGCACAGAAAACAGAAAGCCTCGTTTGCCCACATTTCAAGATCTGAAGCCATGACAGCATAAAAACCGGGGGTTAATTTGCCGTTAAAAGAAAAAAAAAAAACACAAACCACAAAAAACCAAAGATCACTCTGTCTGGTGCTTTTCCTGTCACTTCCCCCTGCGCTTTCTGTTCCTTCCATGACGCAACTGATTTATGAAACAGCCCCAGCAGCCTGCCCTGCCCTGGCCCCCGAGGGCTGGGGGTGTCCCACCACCCTTGCCCAGCTCTGGGGCTCAGCAGAGCCCCTGCAAAGCCCTGGGGAGCTGCAGCTGCACCCCTGCCCACTGCTCCTGCTGCTGCTGTCGGCAGCCAGGCGCTGCCAGAGTGAATCAGCACGCTGCTCTGCTGCCGACAGAGCTTCAAACCGCCCAGCCTTCCCGAACAGATACAGGCGCTGCGGTCGCCCAGCAGCCCCAGCCCGGGTCTCATTCCCTTGCAATTCCTTGACCTACATACCCGCTCGGACTTTGGCTCGCTTGCTTTTTCCCCTTTGCTGTTTCAGCTCGACGCAAAGCAAACTCTCCCTCCTCAGCTGGGTGCATCCGCTCCAGCATGAGGCAGCTAAGGGGTTAAATTTCTCATTGGCATCCTTGGTGGGTCCAGCTGCAGTGGGTGTAGGGACTGGGACGGGTGTCCCTGCACTGGGGTAGGTGTCCCTGCACTGGGACTGGTGTCCCTGCACTGGGATGGGTGTCCCTGCACTGGGATAGGTGTCCCTGCACTGGGATGGGTGTCTGCTACGGATGCAGCTGCATCCGAAGCCCCTTGCACCCACCGGTGCAGCCCCAGCCACCTGCAAACCAGCATCGTCCCTTTCGCTCTGCCCTTCCCCTGTCCCCAAGGCAGAGACGTGAAAATGCTCCAGACCACGGTGACTGAAAGCTGGAGGAAATACAGCCCTGGGAGAGAGCACGGAAGGGAGCCTGCAGTGGGTTTACCAACCTGCACCAGCACAGCACTGCTCTCTGGAGACGGACAGGGCTGTCAGAGGCACAGCAGAGATGGCACAGTGCTGCCTGACCGAGGGGTGAGAGGCGAGGAGCAAGAAATTTTAATTTTAAGAGTTTTTTCATCATGCCCTTCCCCTAGATCCAGGTAGCATTGGATTTAAGACACAGGCAGCAGGGGATTTAAAATCCAGGTAGCATCGGATTTAAAAGAGCAAAGGAAGTATTAGCTCTCGCCCATTGCTCCTTTCACATTTTTCTGAAAAAGATCCAGAATTTCCCCTTGGATCTGGCTGTTAAGGGAAACAAATCCTTCAGATTTCCACTGCAAAACCATCCGACTGCAAAAAGCTCTATTAACATCTAAAACTTCCTTAAAACCCATAGAGTGAGTCTCATCTGCCTGCGACAATTTTAGCATCAGAGATCACCTTGATATTGTAAATAGCCAACATCTGGCATCAGATGCACAGTAAATGAGCTGCAAGCGAGCCCCCTGGGCAGACGCTTTATATCTATTAATAAGAAAAGGAAAACAATTATCTGCCTTGCTCCTACCACCAAATGTTAGGAGCCCATTAGGAGGGGGGAGGCCAGCGGAGAGGCGAGCCCTGCACCGGCACAAGGACGAGCCTGAAGCATTGCCGCAGCAGAACCAAGCCAAACCCCAAAGCTGGTGTTTAAGGGACGTTAAAACAGTTGGGACGTCCCCTGTCACTGTAAGGTCCTTCCTGTCCCAACGTGGCATCTCTGCTGCCATCCCTTATGGACTGGGGGCTGAGGATGGGGTGAGCATCCTCGGGGCATCGCCTGCCCCAGGCTGGAGCTGGTCAGCATCTGCAGGGATGGAGGCAGATTCCAGCTGAGATGTTTATATAAATGTGTTATCAAAACCTCCGCTGAAAAACAACCTGGCTGCAGCGCTAGGGACAGGAGGGGAGGAAAAAAAAAGGAGAAAGCCAAAAAAAGCCCTTGGCCTCGTCTGCTCCCGCAGCCGTGATTCACATGACTACACGCACGTGGGGCTGCTGGGATGAGACAAGGCAGCTCTCCGGAGCCCAGCCCGCGGGATCGGGATGAGAAACAGTCACCGGCTGGAATCAGCCTCCCAGTGCCATGGCTGAGCCCGCAGGGAGAGGAAAAAGGGGATGTAAATGCCTGGGAATGAAGAGCGAGCCCATCCCATGAGCTCAGGAGGTACCTGGGAGCTGTCATCCATCGGACAACCTGCTCCCTCCAGCGCCAGCATCGCTCTGAAGGCGATAACTCATTGCCTGGGCTTCAGAGCCCGCAGCTTGCTCTGCCCCGGCTCCTGCTGTGCTGGAGGCCACACTGTCCCCACCGAGATGGCACATGCTCCCCGTCACCGCTGTCCCAGCCACGTGTAGGACGCAGGCTGGCTTTGGAGGTCCCATGTTTCCCAGATTAGCCAGTCACACACGGGAGTGAACCCCAGACAGATGTCACCGTTCCCAGGAAAGAGTTTTTTTGGCTCCATAATTAGAATTAATATTTTTTTCCATTTTTTCTTTTCACTTACATGCCCCATCCTACTTCTTCTGAACTTCCCAAATCTCCCGCAGTCACTAAGTTCTCTGACCTGGAAAATGAGCCATTTTGCAGCCTGGAGTAGTTGACATTAATGAAAGATGCATGTTCCAAAAGCATCTTTGCTATCTCTCCGGTGGAGTCGGTGGCAGCTGGAAGAGCTCCACTCCTCTGGAAGTGAACTACTCTACTCCATTTTCTTCCCCAAATGTGGCACTATTAGGTGTAAGAGCTGACAAAAGGCCCAGATGGCACGACACATTGAAGAACCAATGAATCAGGCACTGCAGTGTTTTTGGGGGAGGTTATTTTTTGGCTGAACAAGCTGCAGAGTGGGGTAAGTGACCACGAGGAGGTGAAAAAATGGTGGAAAGCAGCATTGTGCAATTAATTAAAAAAAAAAACCCCAACAGCTAAAATTAGATCTGCTATATCCTAGATGATTAGAAACAGCCCCAAGTCCAAACACAGGCTGCCTGGAGCTCTCCCCTCGGAAATACCGTGCTCTGGGAGCTGGGCAATTTTTATCCCAGCATCAGTGATGGAGCGGGGCTGCCTCGCGGGGGGATGAGATGCAGGCAAGAGGGTGAGCGCACTGCTGATGGGGAAAATGAACCAAGCAGAGCCCAGGATGGCTCAGCTGCCTCCCAGAAGGGCTCCGATGGCTCTGACAGCCCCTGTTCGCTGTGGCAGCAGCGCAGGTCACATCTGTGCATCCCAGAACCATGCACAGCAACACACACGAGCACGACAGCAGCGTACGGGATGAGCTGCAGGGTGAAAACTGCCTTGGGCTGATACCAACAGCATCTCCCAGCCCACAGACACTGGCTCCTCGCTCAGACTCGGTGCTGCTCGGGCTTGTGTTTACATCCCGCTGCCTTCCGTAAGGCAAAGCAGAAAAAAACCCCTTGGGGCTGGTTCTGTGGGGCTCAGAGGAACTCCAGCCAGCACCGTCCCCCCTCCCAGTGCGTCAGACCCGGATCAGGTGTGTCTGCCAGCATCCCTGGACAGACAGAAACGGAGGGCGAGACCAGAACTGCGTTCCAGGTGAAAACATGGAGATTTCTTCCAAGGGGGGAAAAAAGAGACAGTTCATCTGATCCCCTCTCCCGTCCCCATCTCCTCCAAGCCTGGCCCGGGGCGGGATACCTGCCGAGCCCTCCCTGCCCACCGCTGCTCCCAGCGACTCACCTCGCTGCCCAGCGCTCCTCCACCTGCCTCTTCCCAACCACTGCTCCCGTCAAAGCGCATTAGATGCAAACCCGCTCGCCCGTTTCTCGGGATCTCCCTTCGGGCCAGAGCCTGGCTCAGCTCCTCCATCGGGGCTGGCTCTGCCGAGTGGAGCAGCCACTGTCCCCTCTGAGCTGCAGGCAGGGGCACTGGGAAGCTGTTCCCGGAGTGACAGACATCAGGATGACTCATTTCCCGTGTTTATTCCCCCTCTTCCCATTCAACAGCCCTCGTGCTTCTTTTCTTTTTCACTCTGCAGTCAGGCTTGGGAACATTTTGCCTGCTCGCGCTGCGCGATTGCAGCTCACGGCGTTTCCCCAGGGGCCGCACGCTGATGGCTGCGGGGCTCGCAGCATCCTCAGCATCAAACGGCTGGCCAGGACCCCAGCCCCTCGACACCGAGCGGTACCAAGGGGCTGATCACACCCTACCCTAGAGCCCCTGGAAATAACCCCCAGTACGCTACAGCTGGGTCCCAGCCTGTCCCTGCCTGTCCTTTATCTAAGGGACACAGCGCTGGCGCGCCTGCCCTGCAGCCAGCAGTGGATACATTCGCTCTAGAGGAAGCAGGCGAGGAAGGGAAGGGGGGAGGGAAGCCCGGAGAGCCGGGCATCGCTTCTGTTCAGAAGTGCCTGAGCTCATCAGCGGTGAGGGGATGAAGGGACAGGACAGCACCCACCAAAGGACCAGGGACTTTAACTGCCATAGTTGGGCAGGACAAGAGGCAGACCAGCAGCCTGATGGGATGAAGAGGAATATTTAATGCCTGGCTGGCCCTGTGTCTAGATCCTGGATGCAGGGAGTGGGCATCTGTGTGGTTCCCTCTGCCTGGCACCCATCATGCATGTTGGGTTATCGGACATTTAAATGTTTCCACCTCGTTGGCAGATGTGCTGACCTCTCGGTGGGCACCACCAGGGCAGGGAGGGGACCAGGACAGGGGCTGACCCTCCTCCCTGTGCCAGGTTTACAAGGAGGGATGGTTCACGCAGGGCGACGTGCCAAAACATCAGCTGCCCTGCCTAGCTCAGAAAATCCCCAGCCTCACAGTGGGAAAGGGAAAAAGGAAAAAAATAGGCACATCTGGCCCCAAAGCACCTCTGGGGCTCTCGGCTTAGCAAGCTCTGCC